AAACTCTTCTAGTGGAAGAAAACATGAAAACTAACCGAAAACATCAAATCAATGATCACTAACGACATATTTTATTTATTGATTAATACTTCGGTTTTTCGTTGAAACTTTACTGGTTTTACTATAATATTTTTGATGCTTCTCGGTATTTCATCTTTATATTTAATGTTGACAGAACTTTTGGTTAGACCTAAGTACATGTTATATTACACATATTATATTTGACACTTTTGTTCATTCACCGTTTTTCGACTCAACTTTCAAAGCAGCTTTAGTTATGATATCTTTGACAATTTTCGTTCACTCTTGGGTCTTCTACTACACTAATGATGTTTTTGATAATTTTTCTGACTGTTTGTTCTATCTTTGCAACAGACGTAGTCTTAGGCATTATATTTTTTAAGATGAGCTCACTTCGGAAAGGAATTAGCGCTTATACTCTCCTCCGCTTACTATTTGTTTTTGTTTTAGCATTTTTTTGTTGTGGGTGGTGTAATGATATGAAAGCACTATGTGAGACCTTAGACATTTGTAGTTCCACCAGAGAAAAACAATAAGGGTCATTTCTATAGAAAATAGCGGAAAATGATTAGTATTTCGACGTTTAAGTCGTAGAAAGTCGGTCTATGTGCAAGATAAGCACAATATCCGAGATTCGCATTAAAAAATACACCAAAAACTCTATTTCCCATTGTGAAATACTTACCATCCAAATTATAGTGCTACTGCTTCAACTTTTTATTCTTTAAACTTTTCTCTTTCGTTCTCCAAGGAAAACTTTTATATGGTAAAGATTTTACAATGGAAAATACATTTTTTAGTGTTTTTTTTTTAATGCTGATTCCGGACATAGTCCTTATCCGAGACATAGAGCGGATTTCTATAACTTAAACATCGAAATACTAATCGTTTTCCGCTATTTTCTATAGAAATGACTCTTATTGTTTTTCTTGGTGGAACTACAAATGTCCAAGGTCTGACATAGTGCTTTCATATAACCATACCAATCACAAGAAAAAAATGTTAAAACAAAAAAAAGTAAGTGAGGAGTATAATCAATGGAAAAAGCGCCAACTTCTTTCTCAAAAAGCATGATCCTAGGATTGATCCAATTTTTGAAGAAGGACATCATTATTTTGGACTATCAGCTTCTATTCTTGACATATTAAACAAATGAAAAAGTGGAAATATCATCTATGTTGGTATGGAATCAATGATGAATAACATGTTTGAAATAGACGAACAAAGTTAGTTTCTCAACAATATTCAATTGACTATTGTAAACAATAATTTTAAAGCAGTCATATCATTAATTGATTTTCCACGGCATACATCAATCAGTTATGCGAAAATGACAATGTATTCTATTTAATGCAAAGCATTCCATATAGATAGTTATTTTCGAATATGTCGGCAGCAATTCATTATGATGATGCCAACACTACACATGCAAATGACTGGACGATTCGTTGCAATAATATTATTCAATCATAGTTTATGTATGCTTTTTAACAATGAAGTGACTTATTCTATTAAGTTTGAAATATATAATCAAATGATTATTAAAATTATTGGAAATATTAATAATGACTAAACTTCGATTTTTTTATCTCGGGATGTGTCACTAGAGAGAATCCGCGAGAGAAAAAAATTGATCGATTTATTACTCCATGATTAATGTCAATAGGATGTAAAACATCTTCGGTCACAAAGTATTATCAAAACTATTTGTAGCATTGTGTAAATCATCGACTGAATTCGACTGGTTTAGTTTTAGATGTATAAAGAACAGGTGATAGTGCTTTAACTAATAGAATGTGTACATTGAATTGGAGGATTTAAAAACATGAATTCATCAAAACTTGTTTTTTTTTTTCTGATGACATCAAAAGTGTTTTTCTTCAACGAACGCTAAACTTCGCTTGTCCTTTTGAAGTATTTTTCAATTATCAAAAGCCTTGAGCTGCAGTGCAAATTAAAAGAAAAGTAATGTGTCACCTTCATTGGTATAGGAAAACTTTCATCACTTTTATAGCTCGAGTAAACTAGCTTTTTATTCGAACAAGAAGATTATCGTACTGCTAGAGATAAAAAATCAAAGTTTAGTCATTATTAATATTTTCAATAATTTTAATAATCATTCGATTACATATTTCAAACTTAATAGAATAAGTCACTTCATTGTTGATAAGTAACATAAACTATGATTAAATTATGTCATTACAACGAATTGTCTATGAGAGGAATTGTCGTGTAATAAATTGTCATACAATGGATTGTACTAGCACCGAATTAGCTCTCAACTTCATCTAGTCCATCACTCTAAATATTATTCTTTTCTTCATCTTCAATTATTAATAAACATTAAATTTATCATTCAACAATTAGTTAATATCTGTTTCACAACATGATTATCAACATTTTTGTTTTATTACATAGATTAGAATTCATACAATACTTATTCAGATATTAATATGAACAAATGATTTTAATATTAATTTATTTAATGAAAAAAAAAAAAAAAACAGTTGAATCATCATAATAAAGGAACATAAATATTCTGCATATAAATTATCAAATATATGTCAACCTACAAAAAACAAATAAAATAGCCAATGTTATGGAATTATATTTGATCGTTTAATAAATTTAAATAACAAACTTTTAATATCTATTGAATCATTATGTACATAATTATCATCAAATAATAGTTTAAGACAAATATCGAAATATAAAAAATATTTCGACTACTTGCAAATTATGTTAATTTATAATAAATATTTATCAATTGAAATTTTATTTATTTATTTATTTAATTTTTTTTGTATCATCAGTACGAAAAGATTGATGTATAATACAATTACATTTCTTTTGTCTCATAGATACTCAAAAATTAATCATACAGATATAATTTCATTTTCTTTTCATAATCATAACTAATATAAAGTCGAAATAGAAATTTAAATAGAGAAAATTAGTTTGAACAATAATCTAAAGAAAATATAATCTTACAGTATTTTAAAAATTCTCGATCATTATCAAAGAATTCAAATCTATATGTTAAACGTAGGTGAATTTAGCGTCCGATTCAAGTAATTCTGCCGCCGATTCGCTCAGGAACATGTTCCAAGTGTTCCATGTATGTTCTAAGTGCAACTCTATGTGCTCTATCTAATGGTGTATTCGTATTTCCTGTAGCTCAAGCTCTGTGTCTAACAATCAGAAAAAAGCTGCCCCAGTGTTAGAGGTCATAAAGTAAAATTAGCAGAGATTTTCTGAATGACATGTTCCCCGTGTTCCAATTGTGTTTCAAATACAAAGTGGTGAGCTCCATTGAATAGTATAATTAGATTTTCAATAACTGGAACTAAATCTTCAACAACCTCAAAATACAGCTGCAAAACTGTGGGAAAGGGCCAGCCACATAGGCATTTCACTCTCGATTCGTTCACAATCTATTGTAAATGTTCCATTTGTGTTCCAAGTACAACGTAATGAGGATGGGTGTGGGTGTGGGTGTGCGTCTTATTCTCATATCCACACCCACACCCACGCCCACACACTCCCACTCCCCCTCCCACACTCCACACCCAACGGCCCCTGGGAAAAAAACACTATTCTTGACTTTTTGCACGAATGCTTTAAGATATCGGAAAGCGGATTTCACCATTCGATAGAGCTCATGGGGTTGTACTTGGAACATAATTGGAACACTTGGAACATGTTTCTGAACGAATCGGCGGTAGAATTACCATGCTGATTGGCATTTTGCACCAGTATTCAGAGATTTCTGGAAACTCAATTTGAGCGTTCGAAAATCAGAATACACCATTCGATAGAGCTCATCAAGTTGTACTTGGAGCTCCATTGGAAGACTTGGAACATGTTCCTGGACGAATTGGCCGTAGAATTACTATGCTACTCGGCGATTTCTGATACATTTGGAGTAATATTTTGAGATTTATAAACAAATAGTTTGAGCTATGGAAAATCCAATTATACTATTCGATAGAGCTCATCAAGTTGTACATGGAACTCCATTGGAACACTTGGAACATGTTCCTGAACGAATCGGCGGTAGTATTACATCCTCGTTGGGCATTTGGGGCCAGTACTCAGGGATTTCTGGAAACTCAGTTTGAGCTTTGGAAAATCTGAATACACCAATCGATAGAGCTCATCGAATTGTACTTGGAACATAATTGGAACACTTGGAACATGTTCCTGAGCGAATCGGCGGCGGAATTACTTGGTGGTTTAGTATTTGGGACCCCTCTTTCGGGATTTTTGGAAACATACTTTGAGCTATGGAAAATCCGATTATACTATTGGATAGAGCTCAACAAATTGTACTTGGAACTCAATTGGAACACTTGGAACATGTTCCTGAACGAATCGGCGATAGAATTACTTGCTGGTTTGGCATTTTGGACCAATATTCAGGGATTTCTGGAAACTTAGTTTGAGCTATGGAAATTCTGAATACACCATTCGATAGAGCTCATCGAGTTGTACTTGGAACCCAATTGGAACACATGTAGAAAGTTCCTAGACGAATCGGCGGTGGAATTACTATGCTGATGGGCCATTTCTCATACTTTTGGACCTGTATTTTGAGGTTTGCGAACACATAGTTTGACTACGTAAAATCTGAATATACCATTTGATAGAGCTCATCGAGTTGTACTTGGAACACAAACGCAACACTTGGAACATGTTCCTGAGCGAATCGGCGGCAGAATTACTCGAATCGGACGCTAACTTCACCTACGTATATGTTAAGCATTCAGAATCCGAAAATAAAAATGTCTTTTGATTAGAGACATATGATAGAACAAGTAATTCTGTGCAAAATATGATGTTTTCGAGTTTTCGAGATTTTTTTCTATTTAAGTAAATCTTTTTTAAAGAGAAATCCAGAAAACAATTGAGAATTCCGTTTTCGAGTATTTAATGATACGAAATGCTTTTTTCTAAACATGAGATAAATGTCTTTTTTATTATTCAGAACCATATTTTCTTTTCACTTCATTCCTTTTCTTTTCTACTTGCTGTTGTGCTGTTGTTACTGCTGTTGCTGCTGCTTCTGCTGCTGCTGTTGCTGTTGCTGCCGCTGTTGCTGCTGCTATTGCTGTTGCTGTTGCTTCTGCTGCTGCTGTTGCTGCTGCTGTTGTTACTGCTGTTGCTGCTGCTTCTGCTGCTGCTGTTGCTGTTGCTGCCGCTGTTGCTGTTGCTGCTGCTGTTGTTACTGCTGTTGCTGCTGCTTCTGCTGCTGCTGTTGCTGTTGCTGCCGCTGTTGCTGCTGCTGCTGCTATTGCTGTTGCTTCGGCTGCTGCTGTTGCTGCTGCTGTTACTGCTGCTTCAAGTACAGCTAATGCTAAGGGATAAAGAAACGGTTGAATTAGGTGATCTTAATGCATGCTGGTTTTGCCTTCTTCATCCTTCCGTTTTTCTTTGGCACGAATAGCAACCATTTGATTTTCAAGTTCAGTTGTACATTTTCTTTTTGTATTCATATGTAATTCACCAATTCTTATTGCTAATTCATGATCAACATTCGTTGAATTTGTCATAATCGGCCTAGAAAATATTTAAATTTACTAATTAGGTTTCAATAAATCGAACGCAATGTTAGAGAAATAAGAATTATTTTCTACTTAATTCCAATTTCTCATAGCACTAGTAAAATAATACTATGGATATATTGCAAATGACTTTTCAATAACGTTTCTTTTTTTATAATCTTCTCATATGAAACATCGTTCAAATCTAAAAGTAAAAAGATTCTTATTGAAATGAATATTTTGCTTATTTCTCTTGAATGAGGATAAATTTTCACCATAAATTTTCTAATAATGAGAACATGGGGATGTTGAGTCATGGGTCAAAAATCTAATAGCTAGTATATGTGTAATTGTTTTTACTATTTACTAAGTATTTTCGGTATATTTTGTTCATTTTTCATATATGAAAATTAAAAATGTGTCGTGTTTATATGTCGTGAATTATTGTGTCGCACACTCCAGCA